ACAAAAAATGCAGAAATGACTATATCGTATTAAAATAATTAATTTATGTTAAATTTAGGATGCACTAGTCCAGCTGTTTCAGTTTATATACATATATCAAGGCTGCACAAAGCTTTTCCCCAAAATGAAAATCTATCTGAGGGCTGCGGCCAAATGTAATAATATAACTCATGAAATACAAATATTTCTTAAGTACAGTCCTTTTATTTTAATGATTATGTCCTGTTGGAGTGTGTCATGGTTTTTTTTGTGTACAAACTAATACAGTATCAGAGTTTTATATATTTATACTGTACTTCTCATTCAACCACAGTTAAATTCACTCTATCTAGGAGGCACAGTTTATATGGAAAGTATTTAATTTTTACAATAACAAGCTGGAATGAAAACAAGCAAAAATGCAATAAAAGCAATGACTTTCTACTTCTTGCCTTTTTTAAAGAATGTAAGGAGTAGAAGTTAAAAGTAGACTGAAAAACAATTACTCAAGTAAAGTACAGATACCCAAAAATTCTACTTAAGTACTTTAACAAAGTATTTGTACTTAGTTGTTTTACAACCCTGGTAAAAATGATGTTGAACTCAAAGAGGACTCTGGAGACCACACCAACACTGCAGGGGGAACATCAGTCTCCATCTCTCAGGAAGAGAACCGAGCCTTGTCTGACTGGAAGCTCTGAGTTACTGAGGTGATGTCAGGTCCAAGGCCCATCAATTTTAGTTTTTAAATCAGCCATTAGTCTTCCATTAAGGGCTGTGTGTGTGAACCAGAGGTGAGTCGGGGCAGAGCAGAGCCTCTTCATTACATCCACTAAAGATTTTACAGGAATCTGCTCCTCACACGGCAGCACACACCATCTGTGTGAACATCAAAGGCTAAACTCTCCTTTTAGCATTTTAGTTCTGGGCTATTAGATACAAATGGTTCTGCATGGTGTCAACATTTACTAAGGCGTTTAAAAATATGCACTTAAACTAGAAAAAAATGTATTTTTTGTTAAAATGTAGTGTGAAATTTACTGAAGAAACTGAAACTCAGCTGAGTGCTATGCGCAAAATGCTGGGTAACATTTGGGACAAATGCATTTTTATCTGCATTTTGTAGTAGATGCATTTAATTTTATCTGCAAAATCCACTTTTTTAGCTGTTAAATACATTTTGATACGTGCTGGGAGTCTTTAGGAGGCAGAAAAGTTTAACTTAGTCTCTCCTGGTGCTGCAAAAATATCGTAATATTCTGTTTGGGTCAGATTTTTCAGCCTGTTCAGTTTTCTATATTTACTATGACGTTTTCTGAACTATTATGTCAAATTATCTGCAACAAAATTACCATATAAGGTCTGGACTTACAAACTACAATTACCTTGTCTTCATTCGTTCCAGGTCAGACTCTGGTTCTTGGTCAGACTCTGGCTCCAACATGTAAAGGCTGGATGGACAAGTCTTCTTTATTCACATCTTTCAGTTGTAAATGAAACATCTCTGCAACACTAGAAAACATAACCCCCGCTCTCACGAGCCGGAGTGGACCGGTCTGGAAGCTGGAGGGGGCGGGGCTTGAAGTGCCCTAAAGGAGTATTAAAACCAGCTGCTTTGACACCAGAAAAGTTGTGAAAGAGGAGCTGGTAAAGTTAGAATAAAGAGGAATTCAMACCAGAGTGTTGTAGCTCCACTTTATAAACTGAATGATTTAAATGTGAAAAAGGATTTAAAAGCATCATATGTCTAATTTAAAGTGATTTATTGATGCATGTGTGCATTCCTTGCTTGTAATAAATAATGGAGCACATTGAATTATCAAAATGTAGCAATAAATGAGGCTCTAGAACAGTGGTTCCCAAACTTTTTATCTTCTGACCCACAAAATATTCATTGCAAAAACTTGTGACCCCAAATATTACTGGTCTGAGTACACAAATGTTAATAACCATAAAAACAAAGGCTACACAAATACTTATTTATACTTATTTTGTGTTTTTGTAATAATTTTAGGGAAAATATTACATCACCAATCATTTTATTACCCTTTAAATTGATTTCTGAAGTGACGTGGTTCCCAAACTGTTCAGCTTTTGACCCACAAAATAACAGTAGCAGAGACCTGAGCCCACAACTATTTTTGGATGATAAACATTTGTATCAGGTCAACTAAACATGGGCATAGTAACAATATTTATTATTCACATTTATACATTTTAGGCAACTAAGGCAAAAATGTAATTAATTCAGAAAATCTTTTCAGGACTCCACCTTGATGTTTCGGGACCCCACTTTGGGTCACAACCCCAACTTTGGGAAACACTGATCTAGAAGATCTCATTAATTTTCTGCTCATGTCTGCAGGTATAACCACTGTGCTGACCATGACCACCATCAACACCCACCTGAGAGAGACCCTACCCAAGATCCCCTACGTCAAGGCCATCGACATTTACCTGATGGGTTGCTTTGTCTTTGTGTTCCTGGCCCTGCTGGAGTACGCCTTCGTCAACTACATCTTCTTCGGCCGTGGTCCTCACATGCAGAAGAAGGCGGCAGAGAAGGCGGCCAAGTCCAACAATGAGAACAGGAGCAGGCTGGAGTCCAACAAGGTGCAGGTGGGTACAGGTCTGAGGGGAGCTTTAAAGCTGTTCTGGTAGCTTTGCACACCGCTGCTAATAAATACAACATGCTAACTGATGTGCAGACTTCAGCTAGTCATCATGCTGCTTTCTGTAAAAACTGTGGATTCGTAATGCTCATTAAACACACAGAAAATAGTAAAAAAAAAAAAAGGAAATGCAGTTTCTGGATTTTAAGCTTGTGCGAATAAAACCTGCAAAAACAAAATAAATAAATACAAAACCTTGCGAAAGTATTCGGCCCCCTTGAACTTTTCAACCTTTTGCCACATTTCAGGTTTCAAACATAAAGATATAAAATTTAAATTTTTTTGTGAAGAAACAACAAGAGCGACACAATTGTGAAGCGGAACAAAATTTATTGGATATTTAAAAAAATTATTTAAAATGGATGTATAAATATAAATAAAATATATTTTAAAATGGTTATTTTAAACTTTTTAACAAATAAAAATCTGAAAAGTGGGGCGTGCAAAATTATTCAGCCCCCTTGCGTTAATACTTTGTAGCGCCAACTTTTGCTGCGATTACAGCTGCAGGTGGCTTGGGCCACAGGTTCATGCAGGGTCTTAAAAAAAGTCTAAAATTTGAAAATCAAAGTTTTAGGTCTAAAAAGTCTTAAAAACACCCAGATTTTCATCCAAAGTCTTAAATTTTATTTTGTCAAGTCTTATTTTTTTTTACTTTCAATCATTCCTGAGAAGCATTGGCTGCTTTAAAGTAAAGCACAGTAATCAGAGGTTGATGTGATCTGTCTTCATTAGTCCTTAGTTTGCTACCAGTCTTTGCATACGTTAAACTACAAATCGTGATAACTGCAGGCAAAAATGGCACACTTCCATGTTTTCGACCTCTTTGCTGCTACAACCCCCCATATACGACGGTTTGTTCACCTGCCCAAAAACCAAAGGAYTTCAGTCATGTCCACTGCTTGTCGTTTAAACATGGTAACGTATGTTTTCAGTGATGCTTGGCTTGATATCAGTGATTTTTGCATTTGGTTGGAAGTGGCCCACAGCAGTTGATATGAAGGTCTCATAGATATGATTGTTTCATTAAAATAATTTAGTGTTCTTGTATTAAAATTGAATATTCTTTCATAGCTAGGTCGATAGCAATAAAAGGTTTCTATGTTAAAAGTTTCAGGACAATTTGAACGTTTTTGTTAGTGCGTCAGCTTGGTATTAAATGTCATTCCTAAAGGGCTCGACACACGGGGAGCGACAAACTACAGCGATTAACGGCTGTCATCGCAGCCAGGGTGAAACCCGACACACGGGACGTGATAGCGATCGCAGCGTTGTGAATTGCGCTCTCAGATCACTTGTCTTCACAAAATTTGATTGGTTCTTGACTCTGAAGGCGGGTGTGCGTTACGGACGTGTAAACTAAACAAATCTTGCGATGCTAATGATATTGAAAAACAAACACTCATCAAGATACAGTTTT